TAACTATAGCCGTTCTAAACTAGTTCTGCCTACAAGGATTGTACTGCACGCACACATGTACAGACACATAACGGATCACTCACACACAGAAACAAAACATTCTGTCAACGCTGCCCTGTGATTTGTCAATAAAAATGCGTAGAAACAGAAAAGTTATACCGAAAATTTCTTTGTGTTTTGAAGTAATCAAAATCCACAGCTTCACTATTAGTAGAGAGACGTTGCACAGACTGGCAGGACTAATTTACATAATCGCGCTCTCACAAATGCATTCAAATACTGTGATTATTGAATACTGTGCATTCAAACACTACTGTGCTTCTATGTATCTGATTTAATAACCGATCAAATAACTGACGAAAATGTAGCCTACTATCATTTCATCCTTCCAAACAAAATTCACACGTCAAAAAGCTGCAATGACAGATTTAACTTTTAATTATGATAACATTTGAATCGTTTAATGCACACTTACTTAAAGGAAAGAAAATAACACATTCATTTTTTTTGGGTTATTATCATCATCATTGTTATTATTATTATTATTAGCCTACTATTCATTCATTCATTCATCAACACTGATTATTGGCAGACTTTCAAAAGCCTGCATCACTTGAATTAAGATTATAATCATTTCATTTTAAAGCACAGCCACTACAAAATCAGACTTAAGCACCTTTTTTACTTTGAGATCAATCTGATTCTGGTTAAATTCTGATCGTTCTGGTTAAATACAGGTTTAAAATCATAACAATAAATAGTTTGATAGCTATGATACTGTTTTTAAAATCAAATCTTTTCACAGCTATGACAGGAAACACAGGCATCTAACAATGCCTTGGGTAAAAAATCAGTTAATCTTAAAGCATATGCATAAACCCAAATAGGTTATTAAACAGTTATCGAATAAGCATGCATCTTCTGTGTTCTAAACTCCTGAAACATTGGTGCTTCGTATTTTAGAGCAGTCACTGCAATTAAGAAATAAATGAATCAAATCTGTATGTGCGTTTGTAATTGCTAACATTTTCATAAGTAACTGTAGGCTAATTTAATTACACTTTTTTTTCTCAGTAACTGTAACAGATTCCACTTACATTTATTTTGTAATTAAATTACGTAATTCCGTTACATGTAATTAGTTACTGCCCAACACTGGTTTTGAATATACAGAATATATGGGGAGTACAAACACTGATCTATAGTTGCCACCCCTCATTCTGCTCTTGCCCCCTTTGCCACCCCAAGTACAAAATCCTGGACACGCCCCTGGTCTGTACATTCCTAAAATGACTCCAAAGTAAAAGCAGCAGGCTAAATCGGGGTCGTTCTTTTGTTAACTTCTCTAATTGTTTGTAATACGACATTTACATACGCTTAATTCTACCGATTTAATTTTCCGCACCAGATTTAGTGTGTCGTCAAGGTGTGATCATCCATTCATTACCCAGGACGCGGCGCAGAGCGGAACAGGGGGTCTCCATGGCAACCGTAGGATTACTATGCAAACACGTCTTGATCTAGAAGCAAACTGAAACGCATGATTTGGGCTGACATGATGGAGATTGCGTTGTCATGTTTTGCCAATAACAATAAGTTTGAACAGGCTTTTGAAGACGGCTAACAAGACGATTCCGTGTAGATTTAGTAGCGATTAAATTCCTAGGAGCGCGCTGTTTCACTGACAGTCTCTCAGTATTCTCTCCACATATACATCCCGATATCACCAATCAGCTCAAACAAACTGCTTTAGAGAACAGGGAGGGTGACAGCAAATGATACAGCTAAGGAAATTCTGCCTATTATGTTGACTCTTTGGCACTGTTATTTAGTTTGCTGGTAAATTACAGTCCAAACCAATACGGCTTGATTTCCACCTACAGATGCGTCAAATCCCGCTGTCGTATGTGATTTATGGGTCAGGTGCTTGTTTATTCCCGCTCCGGTTTTCGTGCTATAAACAGAAATGGGCTCTCAAAACACTCTCAGCCCACTGTTAGCTATTTCTGTCAGGTATAATGTATTGTCCTCTACGTTTAGCTTTGGCAGTCTGGAATGAAAATAACCCAAATGTGAAGGGCCTTTCACCCTCTCCTGTGCTTTCTATATCATCCAGTAGTCGAACAGGTAGGAAAATAACAGCATCATTTATCCTGCAGAAACTCTCCCGACACATTTGTAGTATAAAAAGATGGTGAATTTGACATTTACGCACTTTTCAGAGTCAGCGAGATGGATTTTGTGTTGTATAAGTCTTTAAGATTTCAGTCAGTTCGATGAATTTATAATGGACAGCTTTTATAAATGTTTAGGCTACTTAGCCTTTCGAAGCTTGACACTTTCTGTTTTGAAATTGATAGCTGGAAAAACCTGAATGGAAGCAAAATAAGGACAGCATAGAAAAAAAACATCACACTTCAAATGAAGATTAATTTAATGACTTTATTTACAGCTTAATTTAATGACTTTATTTACACTTTTAAGAGCCCTCTTGTCGAAAAAACGGTGTGCAAAGTTTTATTCAGTGAAATTGAACACATTTATGAAAAATCATTTAATAATTCTACTAATTGTAGGATGACCACACGTCCTCTTTTTCTAAGACATGTCCTTGCTGGGATTTGTATAAATTGCCTAAATTAGGCCTAAAATAAGCCCTAAAATATCCATGTTTTGGCTTTGTTTTCCTATTGATGTGCTCTCTACAAACCCATGGAAGCCCGTTTCTGCCACGGATTGAAAAAAACAAAAAAAGGTAACTGCAACTTTTTGTCTCTCAATTCATTTCTCTCTCA